TATCTTCATTTTTTTTTAATGATTTTGAGGCATAATTTTGACCGAATATTTTCCTACTAAGATGTGCTCATTCATATAGTATATTAGTATCAAAAGCAACACCAATAAAAATGTTTTTAAAATGTAAAAATAGTGGCCATTATTACTTCAAATTGTGCTGTCATTACTTTTAAAAAAATATTTTTTACTGTGCTAATATTAAATTACTTTGATTAACTACCAAGACACTAATCAATTTGATGCTCATTGGTAAAGCTATAAAAAATTGTTATTATTCCCATCAGGTCTTTTTCAACTAGATAATTACATTGAATTCAATTAATTTTTACAAGTTTGATTATTTAACCAGCAAGATATGAGCACGGCTTTATTCGATCATACAAAACTCAATAATAGTTCATTAAATATAATTGTTGCGTCCTGGAATATTCGGCACCGCTTTATTCGATCATACAAAAATATATATGTATATAATTTATAATTAAAGTCAATGGCCATGTCCAATCGGTTATATTCATATAATCATAATTACTGGAGAGTAATTATAATATTAAAAAATAAAAATAAATTTTTCATAGTTTATAAAATTATACTGATAGTTTTAATATAAAAAACTAATAAAAAAAATCTCAAATAATCAAATATCCAGCAGCATATAATTTTTATGAAGATAATAAGTTTGGAGCAGCAAGCATATAATCCAAGGCGTTCCAATTCTAGTTCCAATGAAAATATAGGAAGATGCAGTCTTTTTTTTTTTAATTATTTATTTATTTACTTATTCATTTTTTTTAAGGAATATGCTCAAAATTTATTCAATAAAAGGGAGAATACAACTAAACCCAAAAGAGAAAAAACTAGTATACAAGGCTATAATTAGCAAATCAAAGCAAACAATAACAGAACTTACGAATTGGCAGGACCAACAACAACCCCATCAACCTCCAACCCAATATCAGTTACCACACCATTACCCCCATTAAGGAGCACCTCATTAATATACATAATAGGACAATTTACAGCAACAACATTAACATTTTCTAAACCACCAGTTGTCTTCCCATCAGTCGTTACGTGATTAGAAATAATAGCATAAAAACTCATCGGAATAGAGGACTGGTTGTAATCCCCCCCTAACATGCCCAATTCATTTATAGTGAATACAAAAGGGAGAAAATTCCTCCATGTTGACAAGCTGAATGTATCCAAACTTTTCTAGATCGAGCCACACTTTGTCTGGATATTATTTTGTAATGTCCATATCAACCAAAATTTGCTCTACAGATGGTCGAGACCCCATGGAGGTGGCATTGTCAACCTTTAACGGATGCCCATACAGTGAACCAAGAGTGTGGAGGATATGGGGAGAGAAGAGTCGAGGTTTTAAGTTTGGGAATGAAATCCAAATAGGAATAACATGAGATTTAACAACAATATCGAGTAAGGGAGACCGTTTGGATAATTTCATGTAGCAATTATTAAAAAAATATGATATGTAACCAAACACTATGCTATAATTCATATCATTGATCAACTTAATCAGAATATGCGACGGGTTGAGCAAAGTCACAGAAAAATTGACATTGAGCTTAAGGTTGAATAAGAACTTTCGGATAAAATCAGCACACGATAACAATGTCTTTATAAAAAGACAAATGAACAAACTCCAAGTAAGACACTAGAGATCCTCAATTCGAGAGGAGGATCGTCTCTCCCAAATCTCTAGATAAGAGAGTTTAGAGCCCAAGTACCAAGAACCCTAATTTCCCAATCAATCAAAACATGAAAAAACTCTTAATCCCCCTCATCCCTCTCTCTTTATTTATATGTGTGCTAGATTTTCGTTCAAATCTAAGACATTAAGCTATGCTAGGGTGGCGGATTGGAAAAAAAACCAACAAAGGCAAATTGCAAAGGAGCCACAAGCGCCAGGATCTCCTCTTAGAAGATCCAAAGAGAGGGTAGACCACGGAAGGCAGAAGGTTTGAGCTCAAGAAAACGTACATCAGAGGAAGAGCCATATAAAGCATCCAAAAGGAGCGCGATTTCAAAGATCTATAAAAAAACAAGGATCACAAATCCGTATCCCCGCCATCCGGCCAAAAGTGGTCGGAGGAGGCTAGAACAAAACAAAGCCAAACAAAAAAGAACACCAAATTTGCAATAGATAGGCACATGTAAAAGAAAAACTTCCCTGAGGCCAGCCTTTGCGACGATAGGGGCGGGAAACTACCGGGAGGAATCCAACGGAACAGGGAGCCCAAGCCGAAGGTACGACCTTCACTCAGAAAACCATCTTCTGCCCCCCCTAAGGCCAACCAATGCGACGTGTGGGGCGGCAACCGCTGTTAGGATGAACCCCGCGGAGCAACCCTTGCCAAAGGTCCCACATAGCGACAACTGAGTCTTGACAAACTATTAGAATTTTATGTGTGAACTTGTTTTCATATAGGAATATGATGTCTGAGAATTGAGGCGATTCTATCTTAGGGTTTGTTTTGGGACAATTTTTGTTGATGTTCTATTTTTCATACAGTAATCATAATTTCATTTGGCTACACTTTTTCATTGCTTTGTAAAAATTTTTGTAGTGGTGGAATGTTATTTTTTACGATCAGAATAGTTAAATTACCTTCATCACATCTATTTTACAATCAATTAAAAAAAATTTCAACTATCCCAAATAGACCCTTAATTATTATATCTAAGAGTACAACTCAGCGAAGCTTGCTTACAAGTATGGTTTCATTCTATTTGACTAAACTAATTAGCTCGTGATCAGACTCATTTAAAAATATTAATATAAAATATATAGTCTTAAAATATATTAAGATTCAAAACTTAAACAAAAAAAAAAAAAAACATTAAAAATAGTTTAAGTCGAATTCTCTTTCTTCATTGTATTGCATTTTACTTAATTCTATCATTGTATTGAGGCCCAAGATTAGCTTCATTGACGTAAAGGATGTAAATATATTACATTTTGGTGTTCATGAAGGTCAACAGATTTTAATAGCTAGTAACTACGAAAAAAAGCCAGAAAATAAAAAATTACATTTGAGATGATAAGCAATGCAATCAAGCGATAATATTTTTTTTTAAGAAAATCTAACAAAATGGGGCTGAATAAAGAGCCAATTTTGCATAACCAGTAGCTAAAGTCTGAATTCCTTTTCAACTTTCCACTTCGTAATCCTTAAGCAAATGACAAAATGGATTCTTGAGATTAAGATCTCAAAGAAAGTTGTTTACTTGAGTAAAATTCTTCTATTTTATTCCACCCAAAGATAATATGCAGTAATATGAGTTGCCAGTAAAAATAATCTATAGATGATTTTACAGTTAAAATCTTCACCATAATTAAGAGATGGGAACTTAATGAAAAATATGTTGATAATTTTGTATTGCCTTTTTATAGAAAATACAATTAAGATTCACATAAATACCCCTCAAAAGCAATTTTTTTCATTTTGGGCCCATTTTTAATTATTCTCTAAGTAATCATTATATATCTAATGGCACACCCTGTGAACTAGATTAAGTTCATCCAATTTTGTGTGTCTGGAGTCTTTAGTTGTTGGCTTTCGGTCGGTGGCCAGTTTGGGTGGTTAGTTCGCTTGGTTGTCGTACGTGATGGTTCTTTTTTTTTTTGCTCTTTTTTTTGTTGCAGTTCCCTTCTATTGGTTGCTGGCGTGGGCTGCTTTGTGGGGGTTTGTCTTCGTGCAATGTTTGTGGCACCTTTTGCTTCTTCCTATTTGTTTTAGACATCTGCAGGTGGACTCATTTGGTTAGCTATGTTGTTGTCTATGGATTTTGATTGTTGTAGGTTCTGCACTTCTGGTGGGTTGTCCCTTTTGGGCCTCTTCTGGTTGTCTTTTATTTTTTGATATATTGTATTAGGCAGGACTACTGGCTTGTATGTTTTCTTCGAACATTATATTTTTAGAGAGCTTTGTGGTTCTTTAAGAACCTGTAATTTTTATTTTAATAAACACGTATGCCCCTCCATAAATTTTCTCAAAAAAAAAAAGTTCATCCAACTTATCTGAGGCTCAATAAAAACTGGTTTGGAAAATGTGAATTTATATGAAAAAAAAAATTCCAACCAACTGTATAGAGAAGTGTTAGTGTCAGCCTCACTCTTAAGAATACGTTGAAAGTACAAGTTATGATTAGAAGTAGAAAATGGCCCTATACCAACCACTATTCTAAATAAAATTAGTAACTTTAGAATACTTCTCATAATTGTACAAACTTAGGACATTTATACCAAATAAATCTTTAAGAGATTTATCATCAAGCCAACTATCATTGAAGAATGATAAATTATATTTATCTGTCAATTTAAAAATGATTCAAGAATCTTGCTGGTCACCTCATAGACAGATTTTCAGAAGTAAATGAATTTATTGCTTGATTTATCTCATATTAAATTATAATTGATAGATAATCTAGTATTAAGAGAAGATTCATAGTTGATAAGGCATTTGTAAATCCCTCTTAGATTCATTAATCAATACAGGAACTTGACTGCAATCGTTTTCACAGCCAACGGCACCTTATTTTATTAGGTCCTCTTACCGGACGTAGATCTACGTTCAATCATCATTGAGTTACTCAGTTTTTGCTCGGTATTTGCTCGGTATTGCTAAGTATTGTTTGACAATAACGAGGAATACCACTCTGTGAAGACCAATACCGAGCAATGCTGAGTAATACAAAAAAATACTGAGTTTTTCTAGAAAAAACTCGGTATTTTTTGGTATTACTTAGTATTGCTCAGTATTACTTAGTATTTATCTTTCACATAATGATATTTCTCGTTATTGTTGGTATTGCTCGGTATTTGCTCGGTATTTCTCGTTTTATGCCTGCTACGTGGCGTGATCTCAATGCTGGCCAAACATAGTTCTGCTTATGTTCACCGGACCAAATAAAAATTCCCCGTTTTCTATCATTTTTCAGAAAGCCCCTTCTTTCTACAAAAAATTTCATTGCCCTTCCATATCCTCCTCGTGTTTATCTACCCCGCCATTTCTTTCCATCCAGTCCTGCCTCCGGCGTGCTTTGCTAATTTGCTTTCTCTCAGTCGGAGACTGCAGCAGGGACAGAGAGAAGAAAGCACAGTGAGACCTTCTCGAAGAATGGGTTTCATTCTTTGCCATTATCTCCTCTTTCTTCTTCTTCTACTACTTCTATCATTTTGTCACCTTGAAGTTGTTCGTGGAAATGCGGAGCTGGAGGCGCTGATGGAAGTGAAGGCTGCTCTCGACCCAGAAGGACGATTCCTCTCTTCATGGGCAGTCGGAGAAGCACCATGCGCGGGGACCTTTGTTGGTGTGGCGTGCAACGAGCGCGGACAAGTGGCGAATATTTCGCTGCAGGGGAAAGGGCTCTCGGGCTCTATCTCTCCGGCGGTGGCGAGGCTTAAGAGCCTCTCGGGTCTCTATCTCCACTACAATGCTATTTCAGGGAGTGTACCTAAAGAGATCTCGAGTCTCACGCAACTTTCTGATCTTTACCTTAACGTTAACAATCTGTCCGGGAACATTCCTGAGGAAATCGGTGGCATGATCAACCTCCAAGGCGAGTTTGATTTGTTTTCCTGCTAAAGTTTAGATTTTTCAACTTGCATTTGCAAGATAAAGACCCCATTTTTCATTTCCTCATAAGATTTTCCATTTCTTCTTCTTCTTCTTCTTCAGTTTTGCAGTTGGGCTATAACCAACTGACAGGTAGTATACCAATACAGCTAGGTCTTTTGAAAAAGCTTACAGTTATCTCCTTGCAATATAATCGCTTAAATGGAGCAATTCCAGCAAGCTTAGGGGATTTAGCTCAGTTAAGTTGGATGGACTTGAGCTTTAACCAGCTGTTTGGTTCGATCCCAGTAAAGCTATCCCAAATATCTCAGCTTTATGTACTAGACCTTCGGAACAACTCCCTCTCAGGCAATGTACCCTCAGGCAAGTTGCTTCTCTTTTTTTTTTGCCATTATTTTAGCTTGTTCTTTATGCATTTGATTTCTGTTAATAGACTAAATAGTCAAATTTTATTTGATTGAAAAGAGCTGAAGATATTAAATGAGCGATTCAAGTATGCGAATAATAGCGATTTATGTGGAGCTGGTTTTCCTTCGCTGAGGCTTTGCACTGCTGCTGATATCCTTAACCCCAAGAGAACTGATGAGCCTTATGGGCCTCATTCTCCACAAGACATTCCCCTTTCAGCTAATATCACCTCAGAATGCAATGGAAGCCTTTGCTCGAAATCTTCTGAATCCCCAATAACTGCTTCTGTTATTGGAGTAATTGTCATTCTTGTTACAGGGACTACACTAGGCCTCTTAGCCTTCACCAGCTGGTACCTTAAGCGGAGACAAATTAACAATAGTGGTTTACTACAAGGTTTTGAGTTAAAGATTAACCATGGCCATCCGAATGAAATATACCGGAGGCGTGCTTCCCCGCTTGCCAGCCTTGAGTATTCCACTGGTTGGGATCCTCTTGCTGAAGGCAGGTGTGGTGTTGGGTTCTCGAAGGAAGTTTCACAAGATTTCATATTCAATTTGGAGGAGATTGAATGTGCAACACAGTATTTTTCGGAGGCCAATTTGATCAAAAAGAGTAATTTTTCTGCAACTTATAGAGGTCTCCTGCGAGATGGAGCCATGGTTGCGGTGAAGAGCATTAGCAAGACTAGCTGCAAATCTGAAGAAGCTGAATTCTTGAAAGGTTTGAAGATATTGACAAAGCTGCAGCACGAGAATCTTCTCCGTTTGAGGGGCTTTTGCTGCTCAAGAGCAAGAGGGGAGTGTTTCCTTGTTTATGACTTCATATCCAATGGAAAACTATCACAGTACCTGGATGTGAAGAGTGAAGAAAATGGCTGGTTTCTTGACTGGCCATCAAGAGTCACCATTATCAGAGGGATTGCTAAAGGTAAATAATTAACTTCCTAACTAGAATTTTCAGCATGAGCATTTTCCATCTCAGCTGTTTATTTCTTTTTCTCAACCAGGTATTGAGTATCTACACAGCAGCAGCGCAAAGGCAAACAAATCCTCAATGGTCCACCAAAACATCTCAGCTGATAAAATTCTACTGGATAACAATTTCAATCCTTACGTGACCGGCTGCGGCTTGTACAAACTACTTGCGGATGATGTCGTATTCTCCACTCTCAAAGCTAATGCTGCAATGGGATATTTGGCACCGGAGTACACTGCAGAGGGCAGATTAACAGAAAAGAGTGATATTTATGCCTTTGGGATGATTGTGTTTCAAATCCTCATGGGAAAGAAGAGAGTTTCTCACTTAAAATTTGTAGCTGAAGATGATACCATTAAAGACATCATTGATGAAAAGCTTAGAGGCAACTTCTCAAAACCAGAAGCATCAAAGCTTGCTGATATTGCATTGCTTTGCACAAGCGATGTTCCAAGCCAAAGACCAACTATGGAGACTGTCCTCAAAGAACTCACTTTTGCCATGGGATAGTTACTGTTTTACAGTCTTACTGACCATTGACTCTGAAGCCATGGTATATTGGTGGTCCTTCCATTACATTGGGATTTGGGGCTTGTATTGTATTTTCATGTCGCTTTTAGAACTTGACATTTTCTGGAAGACAAGAAGCAGCAGCATGTGATTTCTTGGCTATTGATTGAAGAGAAAGATGGCAATATTCTGCAGTAAATTCCCTGTTGTTTTCATTGAAAGTTGCCTTCATAGAGGAAGAGCCAAATACCATGTGATACTTCATGCCTGTGTTTTCTTTTTGTTTGTTTCGCTGGTTTTTTTGTTTTTTCAAGTTTTTTGTGGTTGCTGGCAAATAATCAGTGCGCGGCAGTGACCCCCTCTGGGTTCCTGGCTGTAGAAGCACTAAGTACATGCCATGGATTGTTAAGGGAGGGCGCGGTTTTATCTAAAAACAATTTTATTTGAGTTCAGCTTGTGATTTTTTTCCCCTGTTTTAATCAACAAAATCCTCCCTCTTTTACTAAATCTTGTTTGGAGATTCTAGCACAAAATGTCTCACCCCGGTCCAAAAGGTGGTACATTCTAACAACATGGAAAGACCTGTTTTGTATGAACAAGGAGAAGTATATATATATATATATGCATCAGATTAAACAGAGAAATTGAAATCAAGAACCAATTCATTAAGAGAATTTCAAATAACTAATACATCCAAATAACAATAATTCTGATACAATCAACAGGAATAAAAATAGAACAAAAATCATGATAGAAACAATCAGATCCTTAGAAAACATAAACATAATAAACTACTACAACATAATAAATACAAACTGATGGTAACCTTGCTCTTGATGTGGTTGTCCACCAAGCACGCCTGGAGGACCTATTGAAAAAGACAACGAGTGAGTTTGATAAATCAAATTCAGCAAATAACTCATATCTATCAAAGTTAAATAGCCAAATAATGGAACATGCAATATGAGTAACCAAAAGAGAGAAGTACTAACCTATAATATGTATATCAAAAACTGTCATAAGATATGTTATGCTTTCTACAACATATTTTAATATGCATGTATTTATGACAATTAGTTATTGATGCCAAATTGTTATAATGTTTATAAATTCACCACACTAGGTATCTATATGCCTATCAATGACATGTAAGTCATTTCTTGTTTTCAATTTATATCCACTTATATTTTCTTATTTATACGTATGTATTTATTTTTGGTTATCATATACCCATCATCAGGAAGTTAAACACCAACCTAAGAAAATCCAGTGATTTCCTGTAGAGTAGTCACTCTGGGGCCTATTGACTCAAGCTAGCAAAAAACTAATAAGATTCTACTGACATACATACAATCATACATGACCAATGCTTTTATGAATATTTAACAAACATTATATAAATCAACTTGTCAAGTATGATTTGCAGGAATGATATTTATTTTATTTAACCAAGTTAAATGGCATAAATATAACTTTTCTAACATATAAAATTAACTTGCAAAATTAAGAACTAATGAGCAATAAATCAAATATGGTTATGATTATCACATGTTGATTCATATGAACAATAACAAAGATTTACTTTATATATATCAAAGATTTACTTTATATGATTATACTAAAGGATTCAAAATAGAACTAACAATCTAAATAATTATAAGAAACCTACTACAATCAGCATGAATTGCGCCCCTAACTAAGAATGGCACGTTTACAAAAAAATAGATAACAAACCTATAATGGTTGCACAAACTTGAATCTCGAAAGCGGCTCGCTCAACTCTCTAAGCAACAATCCTACAAGTAGAAAAAACCAAATAACATTAAGCATATTCAACAATGCATAAAAAAGAATATACTTATTAACCTTAGCCACACCATAAACACAAAAACTATCGCCAAATAATACAATTGATTCTACGACATAACAAAACACCCTATGGAGATCAAACTTAAAAGAAGCTCCACAATAAAACTTGGATTAATGATTCTTCTAAAAGCTGCAAGATAACATAGAATTTTGATTAATTCAAATATCAACTTGAATAAGATTTCCTTCCCAAAGACATAATTCACCATAAAAGCATTTCAACAAAATAAAAATCGAATAATATAAACTCCATAAAAGAGAACATCTATCCTACACCTTGGCAATGAAGAAGAAGAATGAAGGAGAGGGGAAAAGAGTGTTTGAGCTCACAATTGAAAGAAAAACTTGTTGTAGGCGGCTATTGCAAGAAGCGAGGAGGAAGGATTTCGGCGGTTGCTTCGATGGAGAAAAGAGGAGTAAAAATGATGCCATGATTCCAATTTGCCCTAAATGGTGAGAGAGAGGCAACTAGGAGGGAGAATTCATCGAATATGGAAAGAAACCGCTATTTGGAGGGAGAGATGACGGCAGAGGGATAAAATGTATACGTCGAATATGGCTTTTGCTTGTGCGTGCGGAAGAAATCCCGGACCGGTTCGACCCAGCTCGGGTTATAACACAAAACCAGCTGTCTAATCCTTTGAGAAATCTTAAAGACCTGTTGATTTTCAAAGGTATGATGAAAGTGATCCTCTTGTTCAATGAGGACGCTCTTAGGATGGTGAAGCCTTTTTGTTCTAACTTTATAGAGAAATTTTCTTCGAATTTTTTTTTATCTTAGCTGCTTCGTTGTAATATAAATTTCATGGGCAATTATGTCTTTTATAATAAAATCTCAAAGCAGAACTCTTAAACAAACAATTTAAACTTACTTTCAAGTATTAATAAGCACTTTTAAAAATATTACTCAAACATATCTCATTATTGAAACTCCATTTTATTAAACGGTTTTTTCTCAACCTCTTTTTTAAAAACTCCTTTTTATATAAGCATAAATCGAATCAAACGAAGCCTAATTTAGTGCTTTTAAGTAATGTCTTGGTTGATCATTTCGAAACCACCAATGAAATGTTTAAAATTAATCTAGAGAATCTTGTTTAATAATATGATCCTGCCTAGAACTTAGGAATGAGATTCCTTCTCCCATCCTAAGTTATGGATTCTTCTGATTTCTTAATATCTTCTGGCTTTATGTGTCATATCTACAATTAAAGCTACACGTTCTCTTTTTCTGACAATTTAAAATAATTTTGCTTAAAGAAACTATTTAAAAACTTATTTACAATAACATTTAATTGAACAAAGTATAGATATATTAAAAAAAATTATGTTAGAAACAAAAGATTTTTCGTGGTCACACAAATAATTTTTACTCTTAAGCTGATTAGGTTGCATGGCTGTAGGATCTTTTTGTTTATGCAGTTTTTTTAATTATATTTTATTTATCAACATAGTTTACAAATAATTTACAAATACATATAAGATTTTAATTTATGGTAATAATGTTAAATTAGAACAGTCTAAGTATAATAAAATAAATGAAAATTTTGGAAGAAAAGTTTTTCATTCCATTAATTGCTTAACTTGCCGAATCTTTGAAAATTATGCTTTATATTGTGATAAATTATTTATGATGTTTGTAGATAAAAATTAAATAATTACAAGTCCATAAGATTTTCTATGGGTTATGTCTGATTAAATACAAATCTTAATAAATATTAGACAAAGATAATTTCAGAGCAAAATTTGGGATTATTTGAACTATTTAGCAAACATTATAAAAAAAAAGCTATCGCAGCACTATTTTTGGTTATATAGTTAAAATGAACAATTCGATAAGACAGGTCTAACAATACAAAAGTGTTGTTATGATTTAAGTCCAAATAAGCTCAAATTAGTCACTTAAAAGGTAAATAGAAACTCTGTGATATTAATTGAAGAACTAAACTATCTTCGAATTGTATGTGCTTGTTTCAAAACAAGCGTATCAACGAGTTAAATTCAATGAGTGGAAGATAACTAAATTATGCATGCTATCATCAAAACTCTTAGATGAAGAAAAAAAAATTGTATATGATCAAGATAATCAATATGAGCCGTTTAATAGAGTGTTTGAGTAATTTAGTCAAAATAATTAAAATAACACCTTAAAAATCTATAAATCGACACTCATTCTTAATATGAGGGGTACATTGACATGAAATTGGGAGAGCTTAAATATTTGAAGATCACATTAGTCATGTTTGACGATTAATGCTAAAAATCAATGTTGCTCAATCTCCATTTCCTTATCAGCATTACTCTATTGTCGTCGCTCAACTTCTATTCCCTAATTATTTTCACTTGGTGGTCGTTATATGATTGGCATAACATGGTCTCTATTTTCTAATTGTCATTCTCTGACTTTTATCATATGACCACTGTAGTCCAACCATCATTTCTTGATTACAGTCTCCTGATCATTATCACCCAACTACAGTCTCCTAACATTGCCATCACTAGACAACACTCTCTTGACAATTATCGTCCATCTGTCATTGCCTACAACGCTCTTTATAGGCCGTCAATGCATGTCATTGCCAACAACATTGATACTTGTCATTGTCTATAAAGTAGATTCATGCTGCCAATACTAATGAGAACACCCACTGACTTTATTACTTGCTATCGCCAATAACATTGATGCATGCTATCACCTAAATGACCAATACACCCATTTCCAACAACATTGATGCCCGTCAAATTCATTACACATCATCGACTACAACAACAAAGCATGCTATTTTTGGTTTTTGCGTTTTTTTTGTCCTCATCATAAAAAAATAATAAAAATAAAATAAAATTTGTGTTTCCTATGAGTTGCTCTTGACTTATCTAGCTTTGTACGATTCTTAAATGATAAATGATAAACTCTTTTTTCCTCTATTTTCTATGGCTTCAATACTTCATTACTCATCATTATGAGTAGCTTGCTTTACAGCTTCGTCTCCGCTTTTGCGATTTTAGGGCATCGTCTCCGCCGCTAGGACTTTGCCCTAGCTTTGCTGGGGCTTGGATCTTGGCTTCGGATTGCTGATCTCCAGGGAGTTTCTCTTTGTTTTCCCTCTTCTATTTCTGCCTTCGTTTTTTCTTTTCGTTATGGTGGGTAGTCGTGTTTGTGACCCCGGTTTTTTGGATGGGGCCTTTAAACCGCATTCTTTTGTGGAAGCTTTATCTGGTTCTTCGATTTCAGTTGATTTTCCTGAGTTAAGAAAGGGTTTTTGTCATGGTTTACCCTCTTTATGGATATCGGAGGAAGAAATTGTAGCTCTGTCTGTTCCTTTTCAATTTGCTCTTGTTGGTTTCTTTCCTAGACGTCGTCCTTCACTAGATGCTATCCGAAATTTTTCTTTTCAGCTTGAAACTGAATGTTGAATTCTCTGTAACTGTTCTGGATCAATCTCATATTCTTATTAAGCTCTCTAATGATTTGGATTATAGTAGAGTGTTCAGTCATAGATCTTATATGGTTAATAACTGCTTTTTGAAACTTACTAAATGGTCGCCGGATCTTGATGTCGGGGTTGAGTCTCCGGTAATTCCTATTTGGGTTGCCTTTCCCTGTCTGCGACCACACCTTTTTGCCCCTCGTATCCTTCATGCCTTGGCTTCGATGTTTGGCCGTCCATTAAAAGTTGATAATTCAACATCTGCCGGGTCTAGACCTTCTCTAACGAGGGTCCTGATGGAGCTTGACATTTCTAAGGATCTTCCTGATAAAATTTTGCTTGGTTCGGAGAATTTTGGGTATGTTCAACGGGTTTGTTTCGAGGAGGTGCCTGCTTATTGTGTTGGGTGTAAACTGCTTGGACATATCAAGGGGGATTGTGGTAATTTTTCTGCTACTTTGAATGTGCATAAATCTCATGAGAATGTGGTTAAGCCTGTTGATAATGCGAATAATGGTGTTGTTGTCAATTCTTTGGTCATTGATGAGGCGCAGGTTGCGGGCGAACTTCCTCTTTCTGATCATGGGGATCGGCCGCTGCCTGTGAGCGGAATTTCTGAGATTTTGGAGTCTTTGGTCACTTCTAACCCATCCGTCAGTATACCCCCTATGAATGTGGTTGATGTGGTTAATGCCGTGAATGTTGTGCCTGGTAGTCGTGTTGGTAACTGTTCTGTCTTATCCCCCGATGCAGCTCCTTTTGTACATCCGGTTGTGAATGATGTTAGAGACCCTGATTCTCCGGTGATGGTGCCGGAGGTGGTTTCTGGTGCGATGAATGTGGTGAATTCTGATGGCTCGCCAGTTATGGGTGTTGTGAATTCTAATGGGGGTGTTCAAGTTTTAAAGGATGCAGATGGTGGTTCTGATAGTTTTATGCCTGATGTGGTGGTGCCAGCTGAAATTGAGAAGGAGTTTTCGTATCTGGGGAGAGAGGAAGTTATTTCGATTACCAACAGTTTAGTTGTGGTCCCTGTAAGTGAGGTTGATACCCAAGTGATGGCTAACTGTGTGGGTAATTCATCTGGTTTGGATATTAGGAATCAGAATAATTGGTTGGTTGATTCGTCGGATGTGGATTCAGATTTGCAGTCTTTTGAGTCCGACCATGATTTTACTCTTGTGCGTGCTTCAAATGTTGGCACTCGCGGAAAATTTTGGGGTAGAGGTCGGCGCAGAAGATGAATTTTTGTTTCGTAATTTTGTTGCTTCTTGCTGTTTCTTCTCGGGATTTGTCGGCTTTACTGTTTGATTTGCTGCTACGTGAGGCTTTGAGCAATGATGTGGTGGGGCTCGCGTCCTGGTCGTTCTTTGCTGGTGGCAACCGTAGGTGTGGATTCTCGGGATGGATCATTGGGATGCTATCTTCGCTTACTGGAGGGTCCGTGCGGGACGCCCTGGACGCTGGAAGCCTTGTCTAATTCCTGAGCTCGCTTTTAGCTTCTAATTCTCTCTGTTATTTAGTCTTTTATTCTGCTAGCTTTTCTTTTTATGCTGTTGTAACCTTTGTTTTTGTGTTATTAATATATTTCATATTAAAAAAAAATACTTCATTACTCATTTTCTTATACACGACAACTATATTATTGATTATTCAATTATTAGATTTGTAAAAAATATGAGACTTGATAATACAAGTCAATTTTTATTTCTATAGAAAATATCAAAGTATTTATATATTCTTTCAAGTCACATGTCTAAAATAATTAAAATGTTTTTTTAGATCATCAGTTAAAAGAATGACATTTTTCATATTTTCAAAAGCATAATATATATATTTAATTAGCTAAAGTCAAAATTTCAAATGTCAACCATAGTCCCTAAAGATAAACGTCCAGATACATCGATGTTCTGATTAGCATGAATCTATTCCTTTCGGTATACTTGTCAAAACAAGTGACCACAGGCTTTAACTTTTCTCATCATTCGTTTTTTTTTTATTGAGTGCCACAATAAAAGATTATTGAGCATTTGAATTTGTTTGAAAGTTTTGACTATCAATTAAGATTTTATTTGAGACGACTTTCTTCCTGTTTATTAAAGCACCTTTTTAATTTAAACATTGAAAATTTTGAACTAGAAAGTTTCTTTAAGAAGCAATAAGAAAGCGGTCCCAAACGAAGCCTAAGAGATCATAAATGATAGATAAAAATATTATTGAATTTGTTTTAAAATATTTCAATGTGATAAGCCTTATTGGGAGCTTTAACTACCAACAAAGGCTTCATTTGGGATGACCTTTTTACTACTTTTTATAGCAGCTTTCTAGTAAAATTTTTGTACTAGAAAGCTATTTTAAGAAGCAGAAAAAAAAGCCGTCCCAAACGAAACCTAAGTGGTTTTGGGTTAGAGTCATTTATATGTGATGTGTGTGTATGAATTTGTCTTAATTGGTCTAAATTTCCCAGTAAAAACAGAAATTATTCTATGCGGAGTCCAGATGCATTCGGACTCAAATCAAAATTGGTCCTGTCACATGTACATAGTGTGTATTATACACATTATGTGTACAAAATTGTACACAGGTTGTGTACAAATAATAGCGGTGGTCATTCTATCCTATTTTTTGTAAATTTTTGGCTTCATTTTGATTTTTTTAAAAAATCAATTAAATATTATTTTTATTATTACAGCCGAGTTCTACGTGCTCGGCATTAGTTTTTGCAACTTTTACATGAGAAATTGGATGTCTACTTCATGGAGCAAGTTGTAATTGTTTAATTAACCCAGCCATTTGATAATTATTTAGAGGCTTAGCTCCTCAGCTGGCTTTCATTAATATCTGTAGTTTGCATTTTCTATAAATTAATGCGTGTGTTTGTAAGTTTATGAATTGCTTATGTCAGTAAACTTTTATAATTAAAAAAAAAATTCTAAAGCACTTTTGAAATTATTTAATTTCTTTTAAAATATGTGATATAATATATGAATAATTAATTAATTTTATATTTATTATTCATAATATAAGACAAGTTTTCTTTATATTGATATATGTATATATTTTTTACTTTTAGTAATTTAAATAGAAATTACTTATATTTAAAGCAATTTACTGTGAAAAAGAAAATATGACTAAAGATCCTTTATTATGAATTAAAAAAAAAATTGTGACTCAAAATGAAATTAAATATATTTTCAAATTAACCATTCATTAAATGACAAAATCCGTACCATCAAGGTTATGAACGTTGTTTTGGGACGCAAGAGTTTATAATTGGCTCAGAAAACGGTATTGTTTGAAACAGTAATGTTTGCATTAAATTTCATCAATGTACTTTGACTTTTCGCTGGAAATATAATTGTTTATAATTTTGAAATAAAATTAAATAAATAAAATTTAAAATAGTTTTTGTATGATTAATTTAGTCCAAGAATATCATATTACCAAATTTAATCCCTTCGCTATACAAAATTGATTCAAAATTGTAATTAATGTAGTAATTATATTATAAAATTTATCATAATTTAATCTTTCAACTTTTCAAAATTGATTTCAATTTGATGTCAAGTGGATCATTTTGGATCAATTTTGATAGGTTGAGATTCTAATGTTTTACATGATCATAAACACATAATTAGAAGACTATTTTGAAATTGAACATATTTTTTGTTTATTTAATTTTAGGGTTCTAACCCCTTAAAATTTGAGAATAAGAAAATTAATTTTGATCTTTTATAAAATTTTCTTAAAGCAATTTTATCTCTCATTTTCTTAAAGCAATTTTCAATGAACCAGAATTATCTCCCTCTTTCGTAGAAATCAAACAATTTCTCATTTAGGCTTTATTTGGGATGACCTTCTTATTATTTCTTAAAATGGTTTGTTAACACATCTTAAAAATTGTAATAAAAAGTATCTTTGAAATGCAGTATGAAAGCTTTTGTTTAGGCTTCGTTTGAAATAATTTTCTTATTGCTTTTTAAAGCATTTTTTTAACGGAAAAAGTTTTAGTTTCCAATAATTTTATTCTAAAAAATTGATTTAGTAAGAAAGCTGTTCCAAACTTTATCTTAGGCTTCGTTTGGGACGGCTTTCTTCTTGCTTCTTAAAGTGGCTTTTTAGTATAATAAAATGTTTGTACTAAAAAACCGCTTTAAAAAACAGTAAGAAAACCGTCCCAAACGAAGCCTTAGTTACGAGCATATTTGACTAACATAGAAAAATAATTAAAATGAAGTTTAATTATTAAACAATTATTTAAAATATCAAAAAATTAAACATAAATAATGTTTTTTTTTTGGGTAAACAGCATAAATAATGTCAAGTGTGAATTTCATAAGCTCATACGTCAGCAATGGAACCTCAGGCATTGACCAAATCTCCAAGCTGCCATCCCGTGGCGCCATGTTGGCAATCCGGCCAGCGCGCTGCCGCCCGCGCCGCCCAATCCTGGATGATAAGTACGGCGTCTTCAGCTTAACCCGTCTTATCAAAATGCCAAAGTCGTCATATAAGCAATTTGTCAAACGTCATTTAACCAACTGAACTCCGTCCTCTCTTCCGTAATTTCTTCCAACTATCGGTACTTTTTCCTCTCTCCCTCTGTCCGATTTGTCAACGCCTTCCACTAACTGCATACTTCCGGTTATATAAAGCCCTTTCTTTGTACCTCGAGAGCAAGATATTTAGCGATGAAGCTTGTTTGGTGCCCGGAGACGGCTTTCAAGGCTTATATAGACACGGTGAAAGCTGCACAGATGAGGGAAGATGTGGAAGACAGCGCTGCGGCGGAGCTCGTGGCGGCGATGGCCGGAGGGTGGAACGCGAAGCTGATCGTCGAGGCTTGGGTGAGAGGCGGCGGGGCGACGACGAGCGTAGGTTTATCTGAGGCCGCGAGGCATACGTGTGGGCGACACGTGTGCGTTCTGCCGGACGAGGATGCGGCGGAGGACTATGCGGAAGTGGTGGGGTCGGATGCGGCGGAGGTTGTCGTGGGGGAGGCGGAGGAGGTGATGAGGGAGTTGAAAGGTGTGGAGTTGTTGGTAGTGGATTGGCGGCGGAGGGATGCGGCGAGGATAGTGAGGGAGGTGAGGCCGGGGGTGAGGGGGATGGTGGTGGTTTGCAGGCATGCTGGTGGCGGGAAGGGGAGGCCGGAGTTGGCGGTGGCGGATGACGGGAGGAGGGTGGTGAGAACGGTGTATTTGCCGGTTGGGAGTGGGGTGCAGATTCTGCACGTCGGAGTAGGGAAAGGGGCGACCGTTTCGGGAGGAGACCTGGGGCGGTGGATACGGCACGTGGATCGGAAGACGGGGGAGGAGCACGTATTCCGGCGACGGTGATGATTATCGAGTTTATAGGAAAGTGTTTGTTTGAGATTTCTGCTTCTGCGTTTTGAAGATATGTTTTTTGGTCTTTTTTTTTTTTTAATTTGTAAATAAGAAAGTGGGTTTTATGTGTGGTCGGATGTATAATTATGAATGCTTAGTGTTTTTTTTTTCTTTTCTTTTGTTACTGAGTTAGTTTTGTGGAATAATGGTGGAACTGGTCTTTGTGAAGTGGACCTTAGCTGATTAGAAATTTGGATTGACTCTATGGCTTGTGTAGCAAGCAAGAAGAATATGGGTAAAACTCTTGAATTTTTTTTTTTAAAGAAAATTGTACTGAGTACTTAATTTCCAAAATATGGTTGTAGAATTATGAATGTTTAGTAGTTTTTTTTTTGTATAAATTATAGGATAAATTAAAAAATATCTAAGGTGCAAATGTTATTTTGTACAATTTTTTAATAAATCGGAATTTTGGATAAAAAATAAAAATATTCTAGAACCAATTTTAACAAGTTAATTGTGTGCTTCCCTTCTAGCTCTGTAGCTCATAAAATTTGTGGAAAAATCATATTTGTTAGTAGTAATTGTAAAATAAATTAATTAAAAAATAATTAAGAAACAAAAGGAAAATACGTATGATGATTACAAAAAGTAGGAATCTAATGGGATGTAGATAAAAAGTGGAAAATAAATTATATTAGGTTATGCTGTTAGATTTTTTCATCAATATGAGCATAATTATTTTTTAATTTATATTAGGATTAATATTATATTTTGAGAAGCTAAGCCCTGCAATAAAGAAGAAAACAAAGAAACCAGAAGAAGAGAATGGCTGAAAGCACTGTAGCTTATATTACTCTGCTTTAATTTGTGAATAGAAAGCAAATTGTGAGACAAAGAAGGGACATGTAATAAGCGACGAAGAAGAAGCTTACGATTGCTGTCTGGAAGTGGTAGAATGCCCTGTCCGCTTTGATGTATAGGTAGTTGAGTTCCATTCGCAATGGAAACAGAGTCACTGTCGTGGTAAGGAGTGGACTGGGAAAGATTGCTAATATCAGGCGTTAAATGAGTTGAAGCACCTGAATCAAGTATCCACTCGGTATGTGAGGTAGGCGGTTGGGTTTGAGTAAGTAGAGCTCTGGGTGCAGGTGAGTATTGCATATTACATCTATGCCAGCAGGTTACAGCAGTATGTCCTGTTTTTCCACAAATTTGACAGACAGGTCGAGTGCTAGGCATTGCAACTGTAACAGGCATTGTAGAAGGCGACGATGGCAGTGTAGAAGGTGACGGTGGTCTATTTCTAGACTGAAACTGCTGACGAGAAAATTTTCCTCGGCCACGATTTGATCTTCCTGAAGCACCACGCCCACGAACTGAACCACGAGTGGAATAGAGTGCAAGATTTTCCGTCTGTTGCAAGGAACTATTATGAGCTTCATTTTGAAGATTCACTTCTTCACTACACAATAACGAATAAAGTGTATCTAAAATGATGGGTTGCAGATTTGTTCTTATAGAGGTCTTAAATGCACTGTAGGACTGCGGTAAACCATTGAGGATATGATGTATAATATCTTCTACATCAATATAAGAACCAGCAGCTGCTATATTGTCTACTATAGCTTTAATTTGAGCAAGATATTGAGTCATGATGCTATCTCGCATTTGAACTCGATTAAGTTCATTTTTGAGTTGTATCACCCGCGACCTATTCGTAGGTTGAAGACGAAGTTCCAGGGTACTCCAAACTTCGTGAGCTGAACTGAGATTGAGAATGTATGGAAGCACAGCAGGTGAAATTGTCGATAGAATAGCCGAGACCAAATTTTGGTCTATAAGACACCACAGACGATAGTCTTGAACCGAAGAGGAAGATGAAGAAGGTTTCGGTGGACAAACCTGTTCACCAGTCAGGTATTTCTCAAAACCATTTGCAGAAAAAAGTTTGAAAACTTGAAGTCTCCAAATCGCATAATTTTCGGCGGTAAGCTGCGTGTGAACAATCTGTTTCAGATTATTCATAAGAAATTTCAACGGTGACGGAATGATAATTTTCGCCATTGCTGCCGATAACGAAGAGATTTCCTGTGTTGGAACAGGAGATGGAGTCGATGCAGAGGAAGCTTGTTCTCCCATTGAAATGAATGCAGTGATGCTCACGGCTCTGATACCATGTGAAGCTGAGCCCTGCAATAAAGAAGAAAACGAAAAACCAGAAGAAGAAGAAAATGGCTGAAAGCACTGTAGCTTCTATTGCTCAGCTTCGTGTTACCGAGAACTACAAGGAGATATATAAAAGACGCTTAGCGACAGTTAGTTAGGAATTCAGAGTCTGTTGGTGGACAGACTGAGAAGAGCAGAGAAATAACATAAGTAAAACAAGTGGAACAGAGAGCCGCCTGAGCATGAGAAGAACGGGTTGAACAGTGAGCCGCTTGTGTCAGTGGTCCAATAATGAGTAGTTTGCACATGTAGTCTAACATCCCCCCTCAAAGGAACAATCCTGAGATCGAATTGTTAATTTGGAACAGAGGTTATGAAACCTTGTAATGGGCAGTGGCTTAGTGAGGAGATCCGCGGGTTGCTCATCTGAAGAGATGTGAAGAAGCTGGATGGCATTGGACTGAATGTGTTGATTGATAAAATGATGATCAATCTCAATATGTTTGGTTTTAGCATGAAAAATGGGATTATGTGCCAATGCCATGGCTGACGTATTGTCACAGAAGATCCTTGTAGCTGTAGTTTGAGGGGCATTCAATTCTCCAAGAAGACGACGAAGCCAAATCACATCAGAAGTGGCCGAAGCTAGTGCACGATATTCAGCTTCCGTTGATGATTTTGCAACTGTTGGTTGTTTCTTAACACACCAAGAGATCAAATTTGGACCGAGAAAGGTACAGAAACCAGTTACAGATTTCCGATCATGTTGATCAGCAGCCCAATCAGCATCTACATAGGTAGAAAGAGAGAGTGAACCACGAACGACTGGAAGACCATATGTAACAGTACCTTGCAGATATCGGAGTATTCGTTTGAGAGCCTGAAAATCTTGAATGGTTGGAGAATGCATTCGTTGACAGGAATGATTGACTGCAAAGGCAATGTCGGGTCGAGTGATGGTTAAGTATTATAAGGATCCAACCAATTTGCGAAATAAAGTGGGATCATGAAACGGTGAGTCTGTAAGTTGCGGCGCCGCTGAACGAATGGTAATAGGGGTCGGAGCTGATTTACAATTTGTAAAACCCGATTGATGAAGTATCTCCTTGAGATAGTGGGTTTGATGCAAAAAATAGCCATCAGCAGTTTTAGAGAATTGAATGCCAAGGAAAGTAGAAATGTTACCCAGCTGTTTTAAAGAGAAAACAGTCTTCAATTTGTGTAGAAGTTGTTGAAGTAACTCAGCATTGTTGCCCGTTAAGAGAAAATCATCAACATAGATAAGCAAATAAAGCTGTGTGCTGGCAACAGAGTAGATGAAAAGAGCTGGATCTGATTTGCTGAGATGAAAACCGAAGTCAAGAAGAAAGTTTGTAAGCTTTGTATACCACTGCCGAGGTGCTTGTTTGAGACCATAAATGGCCTTGTGAAGCTTACAAACATGGTTGGGAAATTGAGTATCAACAAATCCAGGAGGTTGTTTCATGTAAATGTCTTCGGTGAGATCGCCATGTAAGAAAGCATTCGAAATGTCAAGCTGCATAATGGACCAATCTTGAACTAAGGCAATGTTAAGCAACACTCGTATGGTAGGCATTTTGGCAACTGGACTGAAAGTCTCTTTGAAATTTATGCCATATTGTTGTTTGAATCCTTGAGCCACCAGACGTGCCTTGTATCGGTCTATCAAAAGACTTGGTCTCTTTGAAATTTATGCCATATTGTTGTCTACACCGTGAACCCAGAATGACACCATTTGGTGGAGGAACAACTAAGGACCAAGTCTTTTGATGCTGTAGAGCTCTAAATTCAACAGTCATAGCATCAAACCAAGAGGGAGATTGGATGGCTTGGTGATAAGTAGAGGGTATGGTTTGTTTGGAAGCTGTAACAGATAAATCGAATATCTGTTTTGGTTTTGAAATGCCGGAACGAAATCTGGTTTGCATTGGGTGAGTTGAATGGATAGTGGTAGGCTGTGAGACAAAATCATTTGATGGAGAATGAATAATGGGAGTGGGTGATTGAAAAGAATTGGAAGTAGAATTTGAAGGAGAAGGAGATGAAGATGGAACAGAAGTAGTATGTGATGACGGTATTATAGTGGGTGACTGGAGTAGTGAGGTGGGCATTAATAGAAAAGGTGAAGTGGATGTATTAATTGTTGAAGGTTGCTGTGGCTGAGACAGAGAAGAATAAGGAAATATTTCTTCATGAAAAACAACATGCCGTGAGATATGTAATTTTCTCGAATTTAGATTGAAGCATCGATATCCTTTATGAGATGTAGAGTAACCAAGAAACAGACATTCACTAGATCGAGGATGTAGTTTACTAGGGGAGAGAGGTTTAAGCCACGGAAAACACAAACATCCAAATACTCGAAAATGTTTGTAGTCTGGATAGCGATGATATAGCTGTTCATAAGGAATTTTAAGATCAATAGATTTGGATGGAAGTCTGTTGATCGTGTAATTTGAAGTTTGCAAAGCTTCAGCCCAAAATTGATATGGCAAACTTGCAGTATGTAACAAGGTACGAGTCGTCTCTAGGAGATGACGATGCTTACGCTCAGCGACACCATTTTTCTCAGGTGTATAAGGACAACTAAGCTGATGATCAATGCCTTGTTCGAGTAAAAACTTTTTAAACAGATGTCCGGTGAACTCGCCACCTCCATCTGATCTAAAACATTTTATTCGAGCATTGAAGTGAGTTTGAACAAGTTTATTGAATTCTTGTAGTTTAGACAAAGTTTCATCTTTGGAACACATGAGGAAAAGCTAACAATATCTTGTGCAATCATCAATAAAAACCACAAAGTAACGATAACCATTTAGAGAAGATACAGGAGCCGGACCCCATACATCGGAATGTATTAATTCAAAAGGTAGAATAGACTTGTGCATAACAGAATCAAAAGATAACTTGTGACTTTTGCTCACATTACAATGAGTGCA